GTTCACGATGTGTGTGTTAGACCCGCATATAACTTTAGGTAGCCCCCCTCTACCGGGGTCTCTCTTGTCCATTTCGTTTAAGTCCCAACATGCTGCCTCTTTTTTATTTCCACTCCCCCCCTGCCCTTCCCTACCAGTCCACACCCCCCCCCCCCCACCCCCACACCACCATCACAGTGTTGTTACATGATTTCTCCCGCTTTTAGCACTTCACAGTCTGCGCTAACTTTTCACAAGAATAAGTGCAAATGAATGGGATAATGCCATCGGTGCCTCACTGATACCTGCTTTATATTTACTCTTTTGACCTTTCTTGGTCTAAAGCTTTCAAGGGCGAAAAGACCCATGTCTTTCAAGTCTAAAACACTCCCTTATTCGCACGAGTATGAGCTGAAAAGCCACGGTGTGGTTTTCAGGGTCTTACGACAAGAAAGGATAACCTCATTCTCTCTTGGTCTTAAAAGAGGTTGAAGGCTGGCCATCCTGGTGGCAACAAAATAGATCTGGGCGTAGTTAATCGAAAGAAATCGATATTGTACTTGGTTTGGCGAAAGCTGTTATTTCACTGTGCATCTTTAGGATTTCATAAATTAAAAAAGCTGCATTAAAGGGGCTGTGTCACGGCAGTCTAGTTCATTTTGTTTGCCAATTACTCGCCCTCAATGGCTACGGAACGTAAGCAAAGAAATTACATGGAAATGACAAAATCACAGACTCGAGACAAACAAATACGTGTCTCCTGAGCATTATTTTTGAAGTTGCAAACAGCAGAGATCAATTTTGAAAATCCGTTAGGCTGAACAGTTTTCAAAAACCCTCATTTCAATCCGTTTCAATCTTCTTCAGTTTTGCGGCCTATCCGTGGCATCTGTTGTATTGTGTTATTTTAATGTTTTAAGCGGTTATTTTTGTGTTTCTTTTAATTTAACGGGCATTTTGCAATAACCTGATTTGACTGAATTTCGTGACACAGCTCCTTTGATGCCGTGCAGACAACATCGCGTTAATGTTGAATTTCTACCAAATGACTTAAGTCTTTTCCAATAACATTGATAGTAATCGGTAACAGTCGATAAATCAATAATTGTCGATTTTTATGGGAAATCGTTGTTAATCAAAGTCAAAATTTTTTATCGATTTCTATACATTGATATCGGAATTCGATTTTCATCGATTACTATCGATTGTTATAGATAAACGTTTTATCGATTAACTACGCCTGGCAACAATCTACCCTCTCTGGGAAAGTATTTCGTAGACACCATGGGCTCAGTTACAAGTTTGCCCAGAGAACTGAAGTGCTTGAGGGAGATTTAATGGATGTGTGACAACGCCATATGCAGTGTATAATTAGGAATAAAATAACACTACCAACACACACAAAGGGTCATTAAGCAAGAATGCGTGAAAGTTCAGTTATTGCATTTATTTCTTGTCACAGTGGACTCTGAAAGGTTGTACCGTACTAACCTAGTTAGTCATATATAGAATGATTGCACAAGAAAAGAAAAAAAAAGATCAGAAACCTAACGCAAGAAAATACTTTCTCCAATGTCTGTAGTTCTCATGATGTGGGTTATGACCATGACAAGTTAACAAACGAGGGAATTCTGTCACGCAACTTTGTAGCAGCGGCTATGTATGGCTTCTTTTTCCTGACACGCAGAAGGCTTGGTACCTTGAAAAGTGCAACACACCAGTCCTAGTAAATCGAACGTGGCCTTTTCCTGTATATCCTCCGTGTGTTTGCCGTTCAGCGTTACCCATGGAACGTAATAATGACGTGGATTCAGAGCGTTCGTCTTCAGCGCCATTTTATGCTCGAGGGCATTTCCCTGGGGACCACTTTGACACTTGTCGATTGCTGTAAAATCAATTCCTTGTTGGCTGGCACACTTCTCTGCTACAGAACGTGGGTCACCACTCTCGATATTTACCTCAACGCAGTGAATGAAAGGCATATAAGAGGTTACATTCTGCAGGATGGAAATAGCGCAGGTCTCGATCAAGTTTCCCACGCATTCTTGAGGACCGTGCTGGCAATTGAAACGCCATTCACTTCCATCTTGAGTCTCTTCGGCATTGCCATAAGGGACCAGCGTTATGTCCATGATTTGGCTAACCTTCTGGAATGTCGGATAAAGCTGGTCTCTGATGAAATCTCTGCATCCTCCACAATAGCTCTCATAATACAAAGCTATTTCTACTCTGGGAGCTGCTGCTGGAGCTGCGACAGTGAGCAACGGAAGTGTGATGAACAGGGCAGCGCAGATGCGTAGCAAGACCATGATTCGTCAAGAGAGATTCTTTTGAAATTTCAGCAAAGGTGAGAAATTCGAGAGGAGCGGACTTCAACCTTTATACTATCTTGAGTGCGCGCGCACGTTTTTCAGTCAAACCGCGTGATAATGTCATGACTCTTTGATGTATTGTTGTTGCGCCATGGTGATGTACCCCGTGTAAATAATATATGCACTTGTACTTGTTATTTATGCGTGAGGTCCGTAAACGTAAAGAAATCTTGACCGGACATGCTTGTTCAATAAAGGAGTGATTGTAAGGCCTAGAAGCTTTTTTTTGTTTTTGTTGCTAAACGAAAGAGAGAAATCCCCCGCGGGCAAGATTATAGACCCATCTTGTCAACGTCTCGGGCAGCCAATTAGAGTACACGATTTGCTTCGTCTTATTAAACTCGTGATTTTGACATGACTTCCTTCCTCGTTGAGATGATGTAATATGTATATCTGGTTTTCTTTGTCGAAGTTACCTTCGCATTCAAGTGAAACTCTACTTATCAGTTGACCGATTTACAGGAAGTTGAAGAGAATTTTTCATTTCCGTTGCTAAGGGACGGACCATTAGAAAAGTTATGCCGGGGCGGGGGGGGCGAAGTACACTATTTGGACAAGGGAAAATTAAATGAAAAAAAATTCATGCACGCCAATTAATCCTAAAAAATATTCATGTTATGGCCTAAAAAAATTCATACAAGGAATTTGATAACGAAAAGAAAATCCTGCGACTCGAAAATTCCCCTCTCCCCGCCCCCCATAACTTTTCTAAATGGTCCGTCCCAGTAAGAAAACGACTGCGGGAGACGACAGGAGGGAAATTTGACTCCTGTTTTGTTCAATCAATCTCGAATTGATTGACATTAGCAATAAAATGCAACAGTTGTGGTCGAACATAGTCTGCTTCACAGCCGTGTTTAGAGTCGTCACGCAGCGCTCCTCCACTAGAAGCTACTAGACTAGGTCGAACACAGAGTTAATCTATTTTACGTCCTTCCTTGTGACACATTTCTTTTTCAATAATAACTCTAAGGATTCTTCTAAAATTCTGATTTTCTCCTCCGTGCCACCCCAGGGTGGCACGGAGTCGGTATTGTAGACATAAAGGAGATTAGATCATCTTAGATCATCTTAGCTTATCTTAGGGTAGGGGATCATTCCGGGGTCGGAATCATTTCGGGGACTGTACAGATCTCTCAGGTGTCTGTGAGTTGTGTTGTTTGTTCCATGGACTAGGTCGAAGGCAGGCGGCACAAATACCCCCGTGTGGTTAAAAAAAACATGATCTTCTAATCCCAACAATAAATACGCGCAGAAGTTCTGCTTTCCGCTTTAACCTATTTTCTTAAACATGTTCTTGCTTTCTGCTTGGTTACTTTCCCCATCCAATATGATTATAGCGATGTAGGACTAACTCCGAAGTCGGGAATCTTTTTGAGTGTAGTGGTCTATAAAAACCCGCGATCAGGCAAATCATCAATCTGTCCACTCTCTATCATAAAAAATGCATTTAATAAAAGGGAGCGGTTTGTGAGACAAGGACGAGGTTTTGCGAGACGAGGACATCCCATAAAAAGAACGGCAGTCTGCATTAGCTACAGCAGTTTATTTTCAATTACAGTGTAATGAGTACATTTCTCTAAACAGCAACAACAGCTTCGGACCGAGCCGTGCTCCTTGATGTTATGTACTATACGGCTTCGGACTTTCTAAATGATCTACAGCGAGAAAATAAAAGGAAAATTCACTAAATGTGTATGTGCTTCTCATTCTTGTAACAGCGACCAATCTGCTGTTGTTCGCACGCCGATGGCTTGGGTCCGGTGTAGTATTTGCAGACAAGCTTCAGCAAGTTATTCTCTGCCTCCCTCTGCAGCTTCTCAGTGTGTTTTCCGTTCAGGGTTACCCACGGAACGTACTGGTGTTGTGGTTTAAGTGCGTTCGTTTTTACTGCCATCTGATGCTCCAGACTGTTTCCCTGGGGACCGCTCACGCATGTCTCGATCGGAGAATAGTCAATTCCCAAGGATTTGGCGCATTTCTCAGCTATCTCAGCGGGTTGCGGATCCTCTGATTTCTCCGTGTTCTCCTCAAAACAGTGAATGAAAGGAAAAGACACCGAAATGTTCTTCAGCAGAGCAATAGCGCATGTCTCAATCAGGTTCCCTTGGCATTCCTTCGGTCCGTGTTGGCACTCGAAGACCCATTTGTCTCCTGATCGCCTTTCTTCTGCGTTTCCATACGGTACAAGCGTAAGATTAAAGATTTCGCCGACCTTGAGGTAAGTTGGATAAAGCTGCTTGCGAATAAACAGCTGGCAGTCAGGACAAAGGCTTTCAAAATACAGAGCCAGGGACACCTTGGGTGCCTCGGGTGGCGAACATGATACAAAACCAGAAGAAAGGCAAATGAGGCCCACCAACAAAACGCCAAACATGTTTGCCTGCCTTGGCACAGTGTACGTATTTCTCCGGCCGATTGAAGCTTATAAACAAGAACCTTTTCAGGAAAGGTTATGCAATCGTGTCATATTACGAAAACCACATGATCTTAGGCATATCACCTGGTGTCACGAATGTATAAAAATACATTGAAAAGGAAAACAAAAAAAACACCAAAAAACAAGCGAACAGAAAAAACAGCGGCTTTATTTATACCTAACATAAGTGCTNTATGTTTGGTATATTTGTCCATTACTCCACCAGACCTATCTATGATGTTAGTATGAACTTATTCTGTCGACCCCCTTCCGTTGACATTTTTAACATTTTGCCCGGTTTTCTCTGACAACCACTCTTAAGACGAATCGCTTTCAATTTGGCAATTTTACTAATTTTAAGGCGCTCTTTTCAGTGGTGTCGACGGATTTTCTCTAACTGGACCATGTCAAAATTAAAAAAACAAAACGTGGAATGGCCTATTACTGATTATTTGGGACAACGGGGACAAAAACCACAGAAACCAACGGTACACCCCTACAAAGGCCATACAAGGGAGTACACCCCCTGGGCAGAATCCACCGTTTAGAAATAATGCCTCGTGCCGATCTTGTGATTGTGCTGAAAGCAGTGAGCAATTGCTGTCAAAGTTCAAGTAGAAAAAAAAAACTGTGGAAAACTAAAAGACTATAACCTCGTGTCAGTGTCCACTGAATTTGTGGCAGGGAAAGTTACGATGTCATTCATGGGCTCCCAACGAGGGTTTCATCCCAAGTACATTGAAAAGGCTTTTGGTACAGTGGAACCTCGAAATAAAAAAATAAATAAATAAATAATAATAATAAAAATGTCTTTATTTTTCATAACATAAAAGCTACATATCATATGTTACATATTTTAAAAATATCGCAACATAGTGGTTCGTTACACATATAAGTTTTACCTATAAGGAAGTCTATTCAGTGATAAAAGCTTTCTAAAAAGTATTTTTGACGAGGGGTCAAGGAACTGGCAAATCTGTTCGGTCTGTTGGCTACAACGAGGTTTTGTTATATCTAGGTTTTTTTTACGGTATGTTTTACTATTACTCACCCTGGGTGAAGAAAATGGTTCGTTGTACCGAGGACTTCCTTTTATTCGTATTAACCCTTTAAGTTCCAATGGTGACCAACATCAATTTTCTCCTAACGATATCCATAATTTGTCAAGAGATTAGGTTATGAGAATTAATAAAATGATCAACAATGAGAAAATGCCTTGATCTTCTATCACATTCTCTCAACACATTCTTTATGGAAATGTATAGAGATCAGTTTGGAGAATTTGTATGTGGATATTGGGGCTTCAAGGGTTAAACAAAGGTTCGTGCAAAAGAGCTGGTGCATTCTGAGCGGCATCAATGAACGGAATAACATTTTTGTCTGTTTGGTCATCCGAACCTTGCAGCATTTTTACTGTATTGTATTTTTACAAACCTAGGCTACTTATTATCTGTCCCAGTTATATTACAGTCGCCAGGATCTTCTCTTGACGGACACTGAAGGAGGATACAACTATCTTCCCTTAAGGCAATGCGATCACTTTAATTCCCGGGCGGGGAGTCCTCTCTACAGACGCGGACGACCGGTGATCGTTGCTACGTAACTTCGTACGTACGAAAATCGTTCCCGTAAACAACCAGCCTTACTGCTCAGTCTGGGACATATCCCACAGGTTGCAATGGAGCGGGCTATAAAGTAGCAAAAGCTTCAAAAGCTGTATAGAAGATCTGTAACTTTTTTTGTTGTGGTTGTCGTTGTTATTGTTGTTTTTGTTGTTGCTATTGTTCTAAGGCAATGTACGAAAATGTCTGTTATAAACTCCTTCGTTTTCTTCTTTCCGTTCTTGGTCTCTGTTGAATGAAATTGTGTAAGAACGTTCACTGCAGCGTCCTCTCGACATGAAGTTAATGCCCCGCATTTTTGACCACCCAGTGATGATCTTAAAAAGTTCCTTACGTATGTCCTTTTTATGCAGAGCATACACTATAGGATCAATCATTGAGTGACCCTTGAGGAGAAGTCGCGAAACGTGGACAGCGGTTGCAGGAACTGAACAGACGCGGAATACAGAGCATATCTCTCTCCATGATGCCATTGTCCAGCAAACAACAAACAAAGGTACCACAACACAAAAAACTCTTATGGTTGATTTTGCGTGCCATTTCGCTTGATTGGTTGAACTTCTTTCTCTTCGTATGCTCTTATTGATGGAACTTATATGACGTGCATGTCTTTTGCTAATCTGGAAGATATGCATGTAGGCCAGAAACATGATAAAACATGGCAGCAACTCGAAAATACCTAGTGTAATTGCCACAAGCACTTTTGCTGCTTCCTCCTTCTGGTTTTCCGATATGGGTAGAACTTTTACGACGTAAGGAGCAATGCATGCAAACAGTGGCAAGAGCCAGGCTGTAATTAATAACTTGATCGTTGATCTCCTAGAAACAAGCAGCGTATATCTCAACGGAAAAACCACGGCAATGTATCTGTCCATGGTCAAAAAGCAGAGATTGGTGACCGAAACGTAAAGGAACAAGTCGTACACTTTCTTATTCACACTCCAATTGCAGGGAATGGAGGAAAAATAACAAATGAATAGCGAGGGAATCATTATTATTCCAACTGTTAAATCTGACAACGCTAATGATAGCAGGAGCCAGTTTGTAGGGTTTCGAAACAATCGATCACGTTTTAGAATAAGAAAGATAACCAGTCCGTTGCATACCAAAGTAATAACTCCATTGATAGCGCTTATGACCCAGAAATACGTGGGGACAGGACCCCAGAAAAACTCAAGTTTCTTGGCCTCAATGTTGCTGCTTTCGATATTTCCTGCCATTTTACCGTTGAACGTAAGTTCAGTTGCACTTGAAATGGCGAGTTCCTGTCAGAAAAGGAAAAGCACCAGTAACAGTTGTACACTTAGTAAAAATACTTCATGGAAAGTGTGCCCGTAAGGTCAGTTGTTGACGTATTAGAAATCGAACGAGTGAGCGGAGATTTCTGATATAAAAACAAGGAATGCGTTAAGACCATACAATACACTTTCCAAGCGGTATTGTGTTTATTGTATACATATAGATCGATACAGAGACATTCATAATTCTGCTATAGCCTTTTCTACTAAGCCTTTTCAAGTCTTCTTACCGCTGCACATCATGAAATGACATGAAAGAACTGACAGAACTGACAGGACTGACAGCGACGTCGCCGTTAGAGGAGTACAGTGGAACCCCGTTGATACGGTCACCAATGGGCCAAAAAATTTTGGCCGTAATAACGAGGTGACCGTCCGTATAAGCGAGGCTTTCTTTACAAGAAAATGTATGGTCGTTTTTGCCGGGCGGCCTAAAACAAGTGGCCGTAATAACGTGGTGACCATATTACAGGGGTGGCCGTAAGGCGGGATTTCACTATATTGGTAAAAACCCGACGTAGTTAATCAAGAAAAATCGATATCATTGACATTAATCGATTTAGTCCGCAGATAAATATCGATTGATATCAGAAATCGATAGAAATTGAACTCACAGAAGAAATAGTTTATCGACTATTATCGATTGACAAAATTGTTAACAATCGATAGGAATCGATAGTAATTGATAACAATCGATAAAAAATCATTGTCAATTTCTATCGGAAATTAAATCGATATTTCTAAAATCGGACACGATTTTTTCTTTATCGATTTCTATCGATTATCTTTTTATCGATCAACTACGTCTGGGTAAAAATTAAAATGAAGGTAAGGATTACAAGTAATCTTAACGTTTTTCTCTTTTTCAGCCCTTCTCTTCTTTTTGAAGCTACCCTGGGTGCCAGAGACTTTTCTAGCGCGGTTTCCGGTTTCTGTCAAGTCTTTATAGTGACCCGCGCCGGCTTCGCCACTCGTGGCTTCGGTCTACGGCCGAAGATGTGTCGGCCTTCGGCCAACATCGAAAATTCCCGCCGCACGCGAGAAAAACCTCTGGAACCCAGGGTATTTTGAAGCCAAAATAAGGACTTTTCCGATCGACCGACAGACGACGAGGAAAAATAAGCAACAAAAACGTGTTTTGAGAAATGAGGTTATCTTTCACCTAATATGTTGGTAAGTAATACTGGAGAGGAGTGTTAAACGTTCTGAACTAAACTTTAAAGTTTGTAATTAATTACACTTGGCAAGTATAAACTTTCGATCCACTTAATTCGTTTTATCACGTTCAACGAAAGCTACCTGAAACTAAATTCGACTCAAACCACTGTTCAAACGAAACTTTGAGCCAAACCGATTGTCAGCACTCCAAAACAAAAAAAAACAGAAAAGGCAAAAAGCCACACAGTAGTAAATTAAAAATTTGATAAAGGTCACATCCACTTAATTTTTTTACGAACAACATTTCTCTGACCAACCTAACACTCCCCACTGTACGTGTTCCTCTGAAATGCAATACTTTCAACGAGATCAGCCTTCTTTTCTCTGTAGATTCATTTCATTTATAGATTACACATCGCTGACATCTAGCTGGTGTCAAAGCTGAGTGTGTCGCTGTTCGAAGTGCCATGCACAGGTGACAGCGAATTTTTAATTAAGTGTAGTGAATAGGAGCTGTCGTTTTTGTTGTCACACTTTTATGACAAGAACTACTTCAGTAAAAAGCATTTTGACGCATGTTCTCTGTCGCAGAGCATTTCAACTTTCAAAATCAGCATATTTCATCAGGAGTAAAATTACTTTTGTCGCGTGTAATAAAAATCTTATTCAAGAAGGGAAGTATGAATTATTTCATTCTCAACCCGTCAGGAGTTTCCCCGAGATGTAGTTAGCGACCTTTGTCTTATGGTGACAGTTATTTTAGCTCTCAAAGGATTTTCAGGTTAATTTGCACTTTTACCATCAGATATCGCCAAAATGACTTCCACTGTAAAAGCGGTGCATATAAACGTTGGTCAGTGGGTGTGAAAATGATGCCGTCCGCCGATTTTCAAAATTATTGTATAATATTGGTGCATTATTAGACTTGAAAGTTAGACATTTTTTGCTGTAATTCCCATTAATCGTCCCAAATCGTGCCGACACTGAATCACTAAATAACAAAAGTACCCCAAATCAAACGTATACTGTATTTAATGATCATCGGAGCGAGTTGTACCGACTCAAAGGCTCGGTGTAAGACAGGCTGAGGAAACGTGTTGGTAAATATGGATTTACCAAGAATTGTCACTCCAGTTTCAAATACGACCCCAACCCCTCATTCCCATGAGTCTCTCTCCCCCAAAGCTCTTGGAAAAAAACAGCCTTGGAGAGGATGGGTGGAGTATGGTAGGCGTTTTCGCCTGATAAGCAAAAACGTCCAAGATTAGGAGTACGTTAGTAAATGAAAAGGCGTGTGACCACGAAATATTTCCTGTTATATTTGTATGGACGCCAGTCGCAAATGGTTGTTAAAGGACTTGAAACGCAGAGCCATCACAAGTACTAGCATAAAAAGCTGCTGAATATAAAGTTGGGAATCGAACGGTAGAGCAACGCATTTTAACATGAGATTACTGTTAGAACGTTAGAAATGCTATACAGCTTAGTCACAATGGAAGTTAAACTGCATCATGGCTTATATCTAAAACTTACAAAAAGTAAGGTGGGTCTAAACTGTCGGCCTCGACTCGGCTCTTGCGATTGAAATCAAACATCTCTCGCTTACCCTCTCGGCATATAGCATATGGAAAATGAGCAATTTGGCGCATGTTAAATTTCCAACATAATGATGTTAACACTCACTTGCAATAAAGCCTAGTCCATTTGCTCACTTCATGATAATCAGTTAGCACTTTCGCTTGATGATGAACCACGAATTATCACGTTCTGAGCTCTCTGCATTGGACAACCACGTAACAAACTTCGAGATACTATTTAATCAGCAGATATGTGTTGACTTCTCAAGAACCAATGTACCGTAAGGACCTAGACGATTTTAATTAAGGATGGTAATGTGCTTAGTCTATTGTTGTCAAATTTTAATGAATTCCCACTGACTCAGTCCCTTAGATTAAAGCCTTGCTGAATCAGCTGCCTTCTGACACTTCAAAAGCAAACGCGTGTTCCCTGTGCAATAGATCATTTTCACATGACGTCACGGCGACCATATTTGTGTACAAAACAATGAATCGGCGGCCATGTTTGTGTACAAAAAAAATCCTGTGGGAATTGAACTCTTTTCACGTGTTAAAACTTTCTTTTATTCCAAGCAATTTGCAAAGCTGCTGACTACGTGACTGAAAACGATCTACTAGTTTTACAGGCCGAGAAAAACGTTTTGTAAAAGATGAATTGTCCACTTTTCAGTGTTTTCAGTTTTAACGTTCTTAAAAAATATAAATATTTAGTTTCTGCTTTGCACAATAAAGAAATATTGGACATTTTGTTAATATGCTAATGTTTCCGTGGAGTGCAATACAGGGCGTAATTTAAAATCGCACAGGCCGATCTAAAATTAACAGTCCGGTTATTCCAAGAGTGACCAAAACCGATTTTCTCTAAACAATATCCAAACATCATCGGCGGAAAGGCTTTGAGGATTAATAAATGAAAATGATCATTAAAGGGACAAAGCTTTGATGTTTTATCAAATTCTCTTATTTATTTGTTAACGAAATGTATGGAGATCAGTCTGGAGAAGACGCACGTGTTGTAAAGATGTCAGTTCTTCCCTTTTGGATTCTTTAAATTCCTATATTTTAGTCAGTTAAAGCCAAATAAATCTCTTTTTATCGAACGAAGTCATTAATGAATGACTGATATAGACTTAGCCAAGAACAAAAGTGAATAAGAAATACCCTTCTGAAGCAAACTTTTCTGAGTCTGCCATCACTTGAATACCACAACCAGTCAGCGGAGAACTTTAATGAACACGTCACCTCAAGGAGTTGTAAAACTGAGCACGCGATACACTCATGTGACACTGGTCAGCAGATACCCCATTTTGACAGCTGCCAATTGAGTATAACATGGATGTCAGATATAAAGTTAAACTCAATTTGTATATGCCTTGGAACAAGAGAGGATAAAGTGGACAGAGGAGGCATCCCCCATACATACCCTATTCCATAGGTAATTCGTCTCGAGTTATTTTTAGAATCGGGATAAAGTTACCTCGCGCGCTGCGTGGATGTTTCGTGGAGGTTTCGCATGACTAAGCGCCGTGCAAAACATGTCGGGCGAAAGGCAATGAAAGCGTAAAGAGATCAAGAACATTTCTGAATATTGAAGCGAAATGAGTCGGCGCTCACCTGGGAAAAGGGGATCGCAGGACTCTTCGACAACCCGTGAAATCAGTTTACTCGAAGTTGTCGTAACCTCAGTGCTTTAATAAAATGAGAAAATTCGCCGGTCTATTGAAACCGGTCGTTTGTATAATAAAGCAAGTAGGACGCCAAGTGTTATTTTTGTTGAATAATAAAAGACTAATAAAAGAATAAATATCAAACCAGAAATTGCTCTCTTCAAACTGTAAATTATAAATGATCCTGAGAGAATATATTCAGTGTGTTAAGGATTTCCCTGCTGTACTGTTAGCTCTATACAAGAGAGGAAGGGCGATTCTTTTTTAATTTCTGTTTCGCTGACACAGCTTTAGCAGAAATCTCTCTTTAGTCATTTTCGTCGACAAAACAAATTGCAATATCGCTCTCCGCATCTTCCGCCATTTTTTTCTGCGTCAATTCGTGAAGGACGCGTGGCTCTGAGCATGAGTCATCCAGGCGGAACACATTCGCGCTATGTGATTGGCTGTTGTCTAATCCCCCTTGGGATCTATGGTCTTAAAAATAACTCAAGACGAATTACCTATGGAATAGGGTGTGTATGGGGGATGCCTTCTCTGTCCCCTTTATCCTCTCTTGCTTGGAATTATAAGCTAGTAAGACAGTTCACATCCGCTAACATGAGGGGCCAACGTAAGAACGATTTTGTCAGAACCAAGTTTCTTGGATGCATATTAAATAATCAAATTTTCTTTCCCATGGCGCTCTGAGGGGCGTTCGCGCGCGTGATAGCCTCGCGAAAAAAAGTTACTGATTTTTTATCCGACCAGTTAAAACCTGCCAAAATAGACGAACACAACAGGTGAAATATTGTTTCGGCAATTGCTGTTACACCAATAAGGAGAGTATTCAAATCAAATTTGGTTAACCGACTAGTGGCTTACAATGTATCAACCGACAGTTATGGTTGCCCTAAATTTGTTTACAATAATAGTTTTTATGATCACTTGCTGCTGTCAGAGTGGTATTTTCTGCCTTGCAGCTTTCTATCCGCCTCGAAATGTTACTGGAGATAACTTTTGCTTCTTTTCCTGGGCAACAGAAGCGGCTACGTGTGCTCCCACGAGATCTTCTGCGGTCTTCACACCAACACTATTTCGCCTTGATGGAAAAGAGGTTATCAGTTTATTTTAATCAGATTGTCTTTCTCTTTTTCATCACAAATTTTACAGTAGAAGTGTGTGGTTATGCGTTTCAGGCAGCATTCAATCAGTTTAGTTTGGTGCACGTGGGATGAGGGGCTGGGGGAAAGTGCTTCATGTATAAATGAAAAACATGGCCTCCTGCGTCTCCAGAATACTGATAGGTGTCTCGCCTTACACATACAAAATTCCTGTTAAGGAGAAATTTCAATGCACTTACGCACTCCAAGCAATTGAGCTTGCTAATATGGGAAATCGAGAAAAAATAACTCCACAGTAAATACATCCAATGGCATAGCAAAACTAGCAGATGTTTTCTCCACCTACTGTTAAAAATACTTATTGAGAAATTAGCGTCCTTTCTGTTAGAAACAACTATGATGACAGACATACATAACCACAGGGACACATACGAACATATACTGGAAGGAAAGCACCATATTTGACCTTCATATTTTTTTTCCTAGAGGAGAAACATCAGAGAATAGACACGTGCACGGTTTTGTTTTTTGTTTTGACAGGGACCAGTTAGCGAACGTCCTTCAAAACGACTGGAAAGGACATCTTAAAATTAAAAAAAAAAAAATTTCAATTTTGTTTGTTACAGACGTTTGTTTGGTTGGGGGGCAGGTTCTTTCTTGCATTTTGGGATTGAGAAAATTAGACTTTTGTTAACCAATAAGTAGTAAATAGCATGCAAAGTAGAATCGTCTTTGTGTTTAATGGTCTACTGTAACCTCGGTTCTACTCTCTTATAAATTTTTCTTTTCTAGGTTGGGCATGCACGAATGGTAAAAATAGTTGAAGACAAAACTCACAGAATTATTACTCGAGCGCTCAAGCCCCCTGTGTTCGGTAAGTTCAGTTTTAGTCAAAAACAGTTCCTAAAATGCATTATTACATGTTTGTATATGGCAATGACCGAATAAAAGCTGATCTACTACCAGGGTTTCTGCTGGTGCTTAATAAGCCAGATTAAGAAGTCACGTTCATCGGCTAATCTAAATTGATAAGCCAGATTAATAAGCATTGGGATTGACCGGTGAAGAGTGACTAACATCAAGAGAGAATGAGATAAGCCTAGATCATTCATTAATAGCGTACTTTTGATTGTCTACAAATAAGAAGGAGGGCGGGTAGGAGAGTCGCCGGGCTAAAGGTCGTCAGACAATTCATTTTGTATTAGGACGAACTCTAGTGATTGAGATAACCATGGTTTTAAATATCATTTTTTGCATTAAGAAATCCCCGGCTTTTTGACAAGAGAGGAATGCGAACACCTTATTCAAAAAGCAAATGACGCTGGGCTTACATTGAGCGAGGTTAGACTACCCGAAGAGAGCGCTCACAGGGACAAATTTTCTGGTAAGTAAACATTTATATCATTATTCTTCGTTCTGCGAAGAGTAAATAGCCGAACGACTGCCTAAAGACATCGCAAAAACAGCTAAAATACAACTGGATGGATGTGAACTGCTAGTTGAAATATCTGCTAAGGAAGGTAATTCCGTTATTGGGCATGTATTAAACTTTGATTTTCTCATCTGATGTCTCGAATTGAAAAAATGCGAGGAGTGTTATAGAACCTTAAAAATCCGTTTGCATCGTGCTGAATCTCCTAAAAATATTATAACAGTTGTTCATGCCTTTATATAGCCTGCGTAGCAAGCGTTTCTGTACGGTTTAGGAGCAAAGAACGAGGAACGAGAGTCAAACTGACCGCGCGACAAATGGAGCAAGCTCGTTTCATTTCTCGCTCGGTCAAAACCGAAAATCCCCTTCCTCG